GCCCGCTGCTCCTGCTGTCCCTCAGCGCCGGCCCGCACGCCGCGGAGCTCCCGCTCGGCCGCGCCAAGTGCCCGGCCCGCTGCGATGTCTCCAAATGCCCCAGCCCCAGCTGCCCCAGCGGGTACGTCCCCGATCGCTGCGGCTGCTGCCTCATCTGCGCCGCGGGCGAGGGGGACTCCTGCGGCCGCAAGGAGGACCCGCCCTGCGGGGACAGCCTCGACTGCCGCTACCCCATGGGCAAGCGCTTCGCCAAGGGCGTCTGCCAGTGCAAGCTCAGCGCCCAGGTGTGCGGCAGCGACGGCCGGACCTACGACAACATCTGCCAGCTGAAGGCCGTGAGCCGCAAGGCGCTGCAGCACGGGCTGCCCGCCGTCGCCCAGGTTCAGAAGGGAGCCTGTGAATCGGGTAGGAGCATGGTGGGACCTGCCGCGGGGCGGGGGGAGGGAGACCTGGCTTAAAGAAGGTCATGATTTTCAGTGGCCTGGGAAGATTGGGTGGCTCTGTGGTCTCTAAAAAATCTCCAAGGACATGGCACCTCACCCAGCTGCTAATGACACCGGCGGTGTGCGGAACGGATGCTCAGGTGCTTTCTGAACAGCGAAACCTGTGCTCGGTGCTCAGTGTGGGCCGGGGTTTGGGAAGGTTTCCGCCGGCAGAGTGGCTCGATGCCTCGGTGAGGTGCAGACCGCGGCCGCAGCGCCCCGGGACAAGGGGCGGACGCTCTTGGCAGATGGCAGCGGGGTGGGTGGAGGTCGCTCGGCTGCCAGGGCAGGACAGCGGCCACGTCCTCAGCCGTGGCCTTTTCTGGAGGCAGGACAAGCCGGCTCCCGTGCTGCCAGTGCCACCTTCGCTCACACATGGGCAGTGACGGCCGCGGTGTCATCACGGGAGCATCAGCCGAGCAGCGCACGCAGCAGCACTGCGGGCCCGGGAGCACCTGAGCTCCGCGACCGGCCCCGGGCGTCTCGGGGGATTAATCAGATTGACCCGATAGGCGAATCAGGAAACGCTTCTAAAAGCCTATCGGGGCAGAAAAAGCACTGAGTATTAGATAAACCATCTAAAACAGTCTTTTTCCTGTTTTGCTTTCTTCACCGAAGGGTTTTGTGGGCTTGTAGTAGAGCCCTCAGTAGGGACAAAAAGCTGGAGAACCTCCTTTATAGTGCAAAATACTGACACAGACTATCAAATGGTCTTCTGGTTGTAGTAAACTGTTGAGGCCTTTGCTCAGATCCTGTGATATGCTATCACAACTTCAGGATGGGTGATTCAACTTTGGAAAGTTTACTAATCTCTTAAACTGGTAATGTCCTTTTAGTATTAAAATGTGTCTCTTTATGGAAGTATTAATGGTGTCAGTATCTTTCCACATACTTACTAATATGTTATTTTAAGAGTTTGCTTCTGCTACCTTTCCCATCGAGTTCCTGGAAAGAGAAATGCTATGTTTAATGGAGTTGTAAATCATGCATTAGTGTTTCCAGTTATATCAGGTAAACCACTAACCATCCTATTTATTCATAACAAACTGGCCAAAATGATTGGGAGGGTTCAGAGGGAAAGTGGGTGCTGTTGTAGCCTTTCTGTGAATAGGGAATCTTTCATGTATATCCTGTACTTGTGAAAGGGTGAACCAGTTCAGAGAGGGAGGATATTCAAATGATATTCCTGGAGTTCCTTTCAGAGTTTCTTTTCAGAGCCAAGAATTGCTCCAGATGCCAGCCTGAAGCTGCAATGATCAATCTCTCCAGTATTTTGTAGTTATAAATTGTTTTTTGCTTATTCCTTTTCACATCAGCATCTGTTAACTTTAGTACTTTAGTAACCTAAAACTTGGTTGAAACTGATCCACATGAAATAATCACGATGTTTAACCAAAATGAGTGAGCTAGCCTGCATCTGAGAGCTTGCTGAGTGCTTGGCATTTGGTATATATGACATTTTCTTTAAGGAATCCTCCTGAATCTAATGGTAATAGGCTTAGGAATTTGGAGCTGTGAGGCAGAGGAAACTTTTTTTCCAAGAAACTATTTTAGTGTTAAAGTATCAACTTTATTTTGGCTTTATTTTTTTTATCTCAGAAAACCTCAGTTTAGATGAAGCATCTGGTTCTCTGTTAAGATTTAATTTTTTTTAAATTCAGTTCTACAGCTGCACAAACTGAAGCTCAAAGAAACTGAGTGTCTTGCCCAAGGTCAGACTGAGTTAGTGGTTGAGCCAGGAATAGAACTCAATTATGGTGGTTTTTTTGGTGTTTTTTTTTTTTGTTGTTTTTTTTTTTTTAATACAGTAACATGCAGCGGCTGTAATGAGAAGTTTGGAAGAAAGCTGACAGTTTAAAATTGCTGTCAAATTTCTCTTTCTCCTGTTCTTGCCTGGCCTCAGATGACTCAGAGTTTGAGGGCATAAGCTAGTTATGAATTAAATGCAGTTTTACTTAACCATTCATATATTAAAACAATCTCAGATAACAGAAGCCTCACATAGTATGATTTGGGCCCTGTTTAATACATGCACAGACCCAGAGTGGCTCCTGAAATGTCTGCTCCTCTGTTTTTCCAGTTGCTTATGTTGATGCTGAGTTGGATGGCTGTGATAAACCCAGACAGGCTGAGAACTTAGCCATGGAGCTTAGCCTAGTGACAGCAGTCTGGTGATTAGGAATGCATGAAACATGGGTAGTAAAAGATGCAGGAAGGAAGGGAGGAATGAGCTGGCCAGGGTTACTGAGTGATCATTGAAAAATTAACAAAATTTAAAATGTTTTTTCCTCGTTCAAGTCCTGGATTAGTTCAAAGGGCACCATGCCAGATTGTAGGCTCTACTTGCAGTTTACTAGACAGGGGGTGTGCTGCATGGAGGTGCAGGAGCTCCATAACTGATGCTCTACAATATGCTGGTACCCAGGGGCTTCTCAGAGATACTAGGAGCAGTCTTGCAATGTTAAGCTCCCTGCTACAAATACTGAGTTTTTGAAAACTTTTTTCAACACTAGATACCTTGACATATGGGAATATATTGTGAAACAGCTAGTTTTTTTTTGTCATCTGCTGTGATAATAACAAGCTATTACAAGCTAGTATATAAGTGATGGAAGAAATACTTATGGAGGACAACCTCTGTAATCAAAGATTTGTTCTTACAGAGCCCTGTTTCTCAGGACAGCAAGTGTAAGTTTTAACAATGCCACGTATCAATCTACTGAGATGTCAAACAAATCACTTAAAGGATCACTTGGTCACCTGCCATCTATAGTCAAGCTACTTGTTTCTTGAGCAAAGGACTGGTTTTGATCTCTCAGTACAACTTAGGACTTTTAAACTCCCTGCAAGGTTATTTCGCAAATAGCTTCTGTGAAGAGAGTTTAAATGTCAAAAGATTTGTATTTTCTTACCTAAGATATGAACGCAATTTTTTTTTTCTTTAAATACAGGTGCTCTTTTGTCAATGGAACAAGGAAAATTAAAAGCTTAGTAAGAAAACCTTTGAGGCTGGACTTGACTCTTACCATTCACTGTTAACGTGAAGTCTCTCTCAGAAAGGGGTCATGATGTTAAGACTCACCCAAGTCAGTCAGATCTTTGCAAGATATGAACCTAAAAGTTCATTTTCCGAAGAGAATGTTGGAAATGCAGTTAATAAGCAGGGTCATTGCGCACAGTTCTAGTGGGGTGTTTGGAGTGTGCCTGGACATAACCTTGAAGACACAGAGGAACAGCTGAGTGTATGATTACTTGCATTTCTGAGAAGTTGGCCCAGTAAGGCATAGAAGTCTCCTGCTGGTGTTATTGTCATCAAAGGCTTAAAGCTGCTTGCAGCTGTATTTAGGGAAATGTACTGCAAGGTATTAGCTGGAAACACAAACTTTGGTCACATTCCTGTACTGCTTGTTTTCATTATGCCTGAGTTGGTTTGAGTTACTGCAGGTGAGGTTGGATGGTGTACAATATTTCGCATACAATTCAGAGTAGAGCGCTTCACTGTTGTAAAGGATAGGTAAGGGGAATTGTTGCATGTCCTCATGAGGATCACTTGGAAAGGAGGAATATCAAGCCTGTAAATCAGTGTGGTGTCTGTGCTAGAAGGCTTGTGCCAGTCTGTCTCTGTCTGGCCCTTGTGATTGCTGCATTGCACAAGAAAGCCACTTTGGTGTTGGTTCACCAAATTGTTTTCATCTGTGCACGGTAGACATCCATTGTATAAACAAGTTGCCTGAACCATAATGTGGCATTAAACTCACCAAGGCTTTATGGTCAGTGCACAGCTATGCAACTTGATCTTAATGCTGAATTCATCAGAAAAGCTGCCCATGAACCTATGTTTCCAGCAGATGTTTCTGTTTTTTAAGCAGAGACATTATAATCTTTTATTTGTCTTTCATTTCTTTCCATGAAAGCACAGTAGGGACAGTGTTTATCCCTGGTGATCAGATCTGCCAGGTTGCAGTCCTCCCTTAGACATAATAATTTTGCTGAATGCACAGATCTTTTCTGAAGCTTGTTTTAAAAGGGGATGGGGAAACAGCCTTAAAAGAATGAGTTTCCCAGGCTCACAAATTCATAATGAATATAAAATTGTGGATTTTAATACAATGTTTCGTCTTTAAGAAAGCAGTGAATGTGATTTGATTTAATTCTACAGGGACTAAGTTGGCAGATACTCAGAAATGTTCAGTCCTTTGCAAATGTAAATTGGTCTGGTTTTATTGTCTTCAGTGGGATTATAATGATTATTTCTACTGAATTTTTTTCCAGTTCTCTTCATAGTAGTTTAATTCTACAGATTTGTTGGCATTGTTCCTGGTTTACAGCAGTGTTAATGAGATTGGAATGGCTCTATTGTCTCTGCAAAAAAGTAAATAAACCACTATTAAATGAACCCATAGCCTGCAGATAACATCACTATCCAGGAAAAATCTTAAACTGATCATAAAGCTCCTACCTGAAAGGCACTTAGCTTTAGGCATTTAAATTCAGTGTAGCTGGAGCCCATAAAATTGGAAACCTAAGACCACATTTTAGGACACAGGCTGAAAATCTTTAGCTTCAGTTTATGCACTTAGATTGCAATCTGGATTTTGAGTGTTTTGAGGAGCTGGAGACCTGAAGATCTAATCACTTAGTTGAAATAATAGGCTCAAAGTTCAAGGCTGCTGAAAATCTGGTTGATTTGTGGCTATGGAGCAAATTGGGGAAATCTAGTTTTGACTAAGAAATGCATAGAAAGCTAAGGACTCATGCAGCATAAATTTGGTTTTGTTTCAAATACAACCTGGTTGCTGCACCTTTGAAATCTTGGTTATGCAACAGATGGCTAATTGGATTAAATTATGTCTTTTTGCCAAGATAAATTAGATTTTGTTAGTGAGATGATTTTGAACACTCAGTAATAACATGGAAAATAATACATGTTATTGAGAGACCTTTGAAAAACTCTGTGGCAAATGTCAGTGGGTCAGTGGGTCAAAATCCACAAGGGCGCTGTGAGCTCAGAGCTGTTAAATGCTCAGGGCACCAGAGATCTGAGGGCTGTGTGGGGCTCCTCAAGGCAGCAGCACTGTGGAAGGGGAAAATACATATTTAACTTTCACTTTTAGTAAGGACAGTAGCAGCAGCTAGTGTCTAGCAACTAATGCAGATTAAAGGATAGATTCTACCTCTCCAGTTGTAACACTTGTATTCAGGGTGACATTATACAATATACTCAGTGCTGGATGTTGCTTCCTTCTTTGGTTTCCCAAGCTCCAGTTCCTCAGTTTTGAAGTATATTGAGAACTTCTGATTAAAACCATTAGTTTAATAATTATGCACTAAAATGCTGTTAACCAACATTTCGGTTCCCTTAATTAGTGCTATGTGTGGAGTAAATGTGAGTGTGCAGTTGCATCTTCCACATCTATAGTTTGAGTTCCTGGCACATCATATAATGTGTTTAAAGGTTCTTATCACTGCCAACGTGCAGAAAGTGATTAAAGAATGATCAAGTTCTATGAAGGCATCTCAGCTTTGTAAGTCAGTTTTCACCAGTCTTGTCTCCACCAGACAAGAGAAAAAGCAGCTCATCTCTGATCAGCCCAGATCTTCAGGCATGCCTTTCATACACAGCTTGAGTGTCTGTTATTCTTGATCCTCCTTTGTTTCAGATTTCCCTCTAATATTGGTGCAGATTTGGATTTTCTTTCAGGTTTGAGCGTTCTTGTCTTCTAACCCCAGCGGGGAGGGTCTGGGCTTGTGCTTAGACAGAGAAACGTTTTCACTGTGGTATGAAAAGAAGACAAACTTTGTTTCAGTTTTAGTCTCCTCTCTGTATTGCTGCAGTTTATTTTATTCACCTTTTTTCATGTTTCATCTGCTACTTCTTTCAGATACTTTGTCTCTGCTTTCCCCAAATCCTACCTGGAAAGCCACTGCCACCCATGGTGTTTGCCTGGTGGCTGGTCAGGAGTGGTCCAGACCTGAGGTTTCTGGCAGGCATCTTCCTGTGCTTTTGGCCACGTACAGTTCTGTATCCATTTGGCCTGGGCAGAGCAGCTGAGCACTTAGAAGATGCAAATAGATTTAGTTGCCCTGACTCATACAGAGCTGTGCTGATTTACACCAACTGAAAGGCTGCCTTCATCACAGTTCTGTGCCAGTTTATCAGCTGCCTTTCACTGATGTATGGTCGTGTCTATTAAGATAAACGTGATGGCAATGTTATATCCTGTCAGTGAGCACTTGCAGTGTAGGCAAGTGTTCAAAGTCATGCCAGTAGACTTCAAAGGATATACTGCAGAATCAGGCAAGCTGCTTGGGAACTGAAGGTAAGATAAATCTTCAGTGGCCTAGTAAGCAAAATAAATAACAGCATATTGTGCTTACATTTGACTGTCCTCTGTGATTCCTGTTTGCGGTGTCTCTTTTAAACTAAGCACTAAAACAAGCACATGCAATTGGCTGGAGGGATTTTTCAGAGTGCGTGAGAATGTATATAGAAATAATAGACTGAATCTAGTCCTGCCAAGCTATTCCTTTTGTTTATTCAGTATCACATAAATCTAAGCTTGCTAAATTTAAGCAAGGTTTCTTTTCATTCAGAAGTAAATCCCGTGTTCAGTAACAGGATAAAGAACTTAGAGTTCTGTGAAGAAATTCCTCATCTTCTTTGTCTGCTTTCTTCAATTCATTTTCTCCCTTTGGTAGTTCCCATAGTTAATTTCAAAGCTTCAGGCTGTGAACATGAAAGATTGCTGTTTGAGTGTGGTGATACATCCCCTACCATATGCTTTACATGTGTGGTGATATGGCTCCATATATCAGGGACTGCAAAGAATGTAATATTTATCACAAGCAGTGCTATTCCTTTGGGATGTTGTGATGCTAGAATCCAGGATGTTGTGGCATTAGAAGCCAGGAGGGTGTAGGTTTGTCTCTGCCTTCTTTAAGATCTTAATTTCACACTATTATATTCACTCTTAATGAATGCTGTATATAGTGCTGCTTAACCATACTGACTTTAGTAATCTATTGCTAGGTCCAACTGCAGATGACAGCTTAAATGTGATTTTGCAGAAAGTTTTAGGTGCAAAGATTGTAATTTAAAGCAGGTTTCTAATGTGTCTACTTAAAAAATTAGAACTTAAGTTCTAATTGTGGCTCCAAAATTCTGCAGCTGTGTTACTCAGCACTTGTTAGACCACATTGGGAATACTGCATCTAGTTTTGGATCCCTCAGTACAAGAAGGCATTGAAAAACTGGAGTGAGTTCAGAAGGTCATGAGGATGGTTGGGGGGAACTAGTCATATCTCATGTGAGGAGAAGCTGAGGTTGTTGGGGTTGTTCAGCCTCGGGAACAGAAAGCTTCAGGAGGACCTGAGAGCAGCCTCCCTGTGTGCCAGATCCATACCGAGGTGCATAATGGGAGGATGAGAGACAAGGGGCATGAGCTGGAACATGAGCTCAACAAGTTCAGACTTGAAGTAAGAAAAATCTAATACATCATGGGGGAGAGTGAAGCAGTGGGAGAAGTTTCCTGGGTAGTTTCTGGAATGTCCATACTTGGAGTTTTGCAAGTCCCAGCTCTGTTTCCCTTTTGTGACTGGTGAAGTTTTGAACGGGAGGTAGAACTAGAAACCTCCTAAGGGCCTTTCCAGCCTGACCTATCTTATGACCCTATGTGTCTTGAATAATAACAAGTAGTTGTCCTCAGAGAAATGCTCAAGACAGAGCTTGTAGACTTCCAAAGAAAAGAACTTAGAGCTAAGTGATGCTGATGGTTAATTTTTTTCAGGATCACACAGAAAGATAGGTAAGTTTTGAACTATCTTAATGACTTTGATTCCTTTTCCAGTACTGTTTGGAAACTGTTTTAGTAGGAGAAACAGACCAATTCAAGGCAGGTTCATCTTGCCTACTTGATAAAAAAAAGGTATTGTCTTATTAACATATCCAATTCTTTCTGCTAGTATAGGTCACCTACAGTCCAGCAGCCCAAGATACAAATTCAACTTCATAGCTGATGTGGTGGAAAAGATTGCACCTGCAGTTGTGCACATTGAACTTTTCCTCAGGTAACACTTTCAATTCTTTGTTTTAGTTATATTTTTTATCAAAGGTCTACAGCCTACAAAACTTTCCTTTTGAAAATGTGACCTTTACAAAATATTCTGAAACATTACAGCAGACCTATTTCTCCAGAGAATCACACATGTGTGTGTTTTGTTCAGTAGATCTGTTCTTAATGGGCTTACAGTACTATACAATATATACTGTCTACCCTAAAATAAGTCTTGTCTCATCTTTGGAGAACTCTTCAGCTTGTTGTGCTTGTTGGACTGTATTTGTTATACATACATACATATAAATATATATATATGTTCAGACAGTAAGCTGGAAAAAAATGGCTTGTTGTTACTTTTTCAACTTTGAATGAAAGATGATTTTATTTTGGCAGGAAGAGCATTAAGAGGTGGAATGTTGAGGAGATGTAGCCTATCTAAACACAGAAATTACTTCTGATAGGAAAAAAATGTACTAAATTTCTTGACCAGAGCATTACTGATATTCAGGATGCTGAAGCTGAGATGGCAAGATCCTCACTGAGTATTCAAAACAACCTGAGAGGTTTAAATATGAGTCCTCAGAACAACCTGCTGTCAGAATAAATTACTGCAAATACTGCATGTGCTTCATTATGTGAATACCTTTTTTCCTGGAGGTCTCTCAATTTCCATAGATATAAGAATTTCTTGGAGAATTTTTGTAGGCTTTTTAATATGCAAAATCAAGCTAATTGAGTGTATCAGGAGTCATAGTTTTATGCACAAGGTGATTGGTCCTTTGAGAGGATGCTTAAGATCTTTACATATGTAGTTGAGAATTTTTTCTTTCCCTGTAAGTAAATGTTTGCCCAACAGCTTGCTGGGTGCTAATTTTGATACTATATTTTCCTGGGATTGGCACCAATTGTTTACTGCTAAATAGCCCAGAACTTTCAAATAATATCCTAACCAGGACCATGTCTTGGAGGAAAGACTTTGTGAGCCTTTTCTCATCTTCTGCTACACAGGCACTATATGTTCCCCTAACAATCTAAGATCAAGTTGTTCACAGAAAATTTGTAATGCCTTGAACAGTTTGTAAAGTCTTTTACCTGTCTGTATTGCAGCACATGTTGTTTCCCACCAAGTTTTACCCATTGTTAGTGTTTTTCATTTTTTCTTTCACATTCCTAGTCATTCTGGTTTCCAGACATGCTTTTTCCACCTGGTCTGCACTTGGCCTTTGTGATCCCCTTAGACTTTGTCTCTTCCTTTATGCCTCTGTTCAGCTGCATGGTTCCTTCTTCCTTTTTTCCCATTAGGTGATTGGTTAATTTTTCAGCTTTATTAGTTTTTGTCATTGTTCTCTTCCAGTATAGAATCAGTGGGATCAGATGGGCCCCTTTTCCTTCCTTTTTTGTCACTACCCTCTGTGCAAGGAAGTCTATGAAGACAGAATTGGAAACCAAAGAAAAAGGACCCTGCTGATTGTCTGTAAACCTCAGTTCCTGTCTCCCTGACTGACTAAAACCAGTCACAATTTTCAGGAAGGGATCCTTTCTTTGTAACTTTTTAAAAAATTTAATTCTTAGGGTGAAAGGTGTTAAATAATGTCTAATATAATCTTCTCTTAAGTTGGTGTCCGTTATGACACAGAATTGCTTCCTTTTTGTACAGGCACCCCCTCTTTGGTCGAAATGTCCCCCTTTCCAGTGGATCTGGGTTTATTATGTCTGATTCTGGTTTAATTGTGACCAATGCCCACGTGGTGTCAAGCACAAATGCAATATCAGGGAGACAACAACTGAAGGTACAGCTTCAGAATGGAGATACCTATGAAGCAACCATCAAAGACATTGACAAGAAATCTGACATTGCAACAATAAAGATTCATCCTAAGGTGAGTGACATAAGCAGAAGAGTGATTTAATTTGGGATCTCTAATGACTGACTAGAATATATGTTTAAGGAAAAAATGTACTGAAATGCAGATATGGAAATTTTTCATATCTTGGAATTAAATTACTTTGTCTTCTGTGATAGCAACTGTAAAAAGCAAAGAAAAATAAATTATATTAATTTAATATGTGGCAAAATTCTGCTATCTTTACCTAAGTACTGAGGCTGTTCTTTCTAAGCTTTGTGCCAGTATGCATGGGACTGCAAGGTGGGGCATAATGCAGAGAGTGGCAGTCAACAATTGATCAACAGTTGGTTTGTATGCTGTTTCTAGGAGGAGGGAACAATCTGTTGGGAAACAGGGAAATTTTGATGCCCTTTTTTTCTCAGTGAAATTGCAAGGAGCTACAGATAGCTGTTTGCTTTTGAAGACAGTTTAAAACAGCAACCCTCCTAGCATAAGTTTTGGGTATAGAGTAGTGAGTGGCTCTTTCATTAATGTAATGGAAATTGCTTGTTCCTAACTTTTTTCTAGTTTTTGGTCTTTGCAATCAGGTTATTTTCAAGTGTGAACTAATGCTTATTTTTTTCTCTCTGTTTTTACTTAAGAAAAAACTACCAGTATTGTTACTGGGACACTCTGCTGATCTGAGGCCAGGAGAATTTGTGGTGGCAATTGGAAGTCCATTTGCCCTACAGAACACTGTGACAACAGGTATTGTCAGCACTGCTCAGCGAGATGGCAAAGAGCTGGGCCTGCGGGATTCGGACATGGATTACATTCAGACAGATGCTATTATTAATGTAAGCATGAGACATGTCACGAGTTCCACTTCACTCTGTCCATGACCCTGCACCTGTGCAGCATGAAAGTGCCTGCCCTGAGAGATGAATCCACTAAATACAAGCATCTTTGTTTAACATCAGTGAAACTCTTTTTTAAAAGTCTCTGCATTGTCTGTAAGTTGTGTTCAGACAGTGTTGTGAAGGGCATGATAAATAAAAGTTCTTCCTTTGAGGTTGTCTGTGAGGATGCTGCATAGGTTGGACTCTTAATTCTGTAAATCTCGTGCAGTAACATAGTTGTATCAACCAGCAGTAAATCAAAACATTTCTCTCTCTGCTTGCTGAGTTGCTCTGGTCAAGGAAGCTGTAGAATAGGGCCAAATTTTCTTTCATCTCTATTCATTAGAACCAGATGCAGTAGTCAAATTGAGAGTATGTGCTTCAGTTTAATGACAGGATACCTGGGTAGGAATGTAAGGAGAGGGCTGGGTTTTTTTGTGTGTTCCCTTCGCACATCACATAATCAAAACAAGAATCAAGGTGTAAAATAACATAAAGTTTGAGGTGTGGTTTGGAGCTAAGTGTCCTAGCATTGCATGTTATGTAGAAGTACATTAAAATAAAATTGCTTCAGAGCAGTTTGGGGTGATCCAAAGAGCTTAAGTGAAATCCTTGGGTGTGTGTTTAGCTTGTACTGCGTCTAAAAAGAATACTGCATACATATCTGAGGTGGAAAATGGCCCAAAATTTTACACCTTAAATCTGTTACACATTGAAAGGAAAATATTTTCAGGATTTATTTGTTGGACTTTAATGTCAAATTTGACATGGCAAGAAATAAACACTGAGTGTTTTACACACAAAAAGTGCTTCACAAATGGTTATTGTCACAGACTTGTTGAGAGAAATTGCATGGGGAGGAAAAAAGGTAATTATTTTTTGTGCTAAGTTATGACATAAAAGTGACCTTTATCAAAAAGCTTATGTATGACCCAAAGCTGCACCTCTCTAGACATTTAGTTGGAATTACTCTCTTCAGCTGTGCAAGGAGAGTAAGAAAAACTTAAGCAAGATTGGTTAGCTGGGAGCATACACTGAATTGGTAGTGGAGACAGAATTAGAACATGGGATTCTTGACTTCTTTCCTGTACACATTTTTCAAGCTCAGACTCCTTCCTTGTGTATGTACTTAGACATTTGCTGCTCTCCAAAGCTAGTGAGCAAATTTAGACAAGGATAGCAGAGTGTCAGATAAAGCTGGACCAAAGGAAGAGTGATAGCAGATGAGGTGAGGAAAGTGACACTAAGATTGAATTGCTTTGCCATCTGAGACCACAAAATATGAAGATGGTCCCTGGCATAAGAATGCTTTGTGCTTAGCTAATGCACTCATTTTCTCCTGAGAATGGGAGGAGTTTGAGAGTTGGTCTGTGCAGAGCATTCCTGTGGTTCTTCCAAGACTTCCCTGCAGGAATGTGCATGCAGCTGCCTTTTGAGAAATGCTGGGACAGCAGTAGCATGGGGCAAGGGAAAACCGGGCCATAAGGTTCTAAATGCAGCTATATTGCATATGCTGAAGGTCTTTCACATTCTTCAAGCAGAAGACAAGAGAATAAAAGATGGTGTGCTAAGCAAGGCTGAAAAATCATTATCTTGTTTTTTTTGTGCCAGTCAGACATGAAAATCAAGTGTGCAGTTTCAGGTCACTAGAGAGATACAATATAAGGAACTGATCTGTTTGATTAAATTTGAACTTTGAAGCTGTTTTATAAACTTCAATGTCTTTTTTATTCTCCCAAGAATCTGTAAGGTTTGCCCAGTGCTATCTAGATGTAAACAGTTTGTGTCTCACTTCTCTGTCATACATCACTTAGCTTTTGTTTCTTTTGAGTGGTAAGTTGCTGCTCTTGGCTGTTTTGCAAACCTACTCGAAAACTCTGGCCTCACTCAAAAACAAATTTTTGAGCCAGCATGAGGATGGACAAGCAACTTCTCCAACTCTCATTTCCTGTGGTCCTGTTGCATGTTTCCTTTAAAGGCCATTAGGTATTAGGTAATTTTGGGCTGCTCAGAGCTGCTCTATGCCTTCCCTAGAGAGGCGTATGTGTCTGTGGTTACTAAATCAATCCTTATGTAGTTGCTACCTCATAGCAATATGCTGTGATTAAATACGTAAAACACTGTATTCTGCTCCAGTGGAGAACGAGAGACTGACAGTATTACAAAACAAAGTAATGAGTAAAATAAAAACTGTACACCTCACTGAAGTATAACTTTAAATAACAATTTTTTCAAAACCTTGTTCTGACAGGCTTTAGAAAAAACAAAATACTAGTTTTAGCTGTTCAATGTCTTAAACTTAGGGTCTGCCTATTTGGAGTGGCTCCTAACTTAAAGCCTGTTTCTGAAAAGAAAAAAAAACTATAATCATGAGAGGGGTGAAGGAGTAGGATAAGACATACCTGTAATCTTCTGTAATCAATATTGTGTCTGTCAGTGCTGCCTGCTTCATTTACTTAGAAAATAAGGACTGTTTGTAATGAGAATTGCATTTCCAACAGTGAAGTATTAATTTATTGTTCCCTTATGTCATTTCTACAGTATGGCAACTCTGGAGGACCTCTAGTTAATCTGGTAAGTTCATGTGACTTGGTTTTGTTGGATAGTTGGTTTTGTTTCAAGAACTAGTTTCATGTTGGTGGAGAATGTTCTCTTGGAAAGAGTCATTTGTCATTCCAGCTTCCATTCATTTAGCAAATGGTAGACAGCCTGAAGTTAATGCAGAATATGCAAATTAGGTCTCAATTCACACACCGTAGGAAAACATTTCCCCATTGAGCACAGACAATTTTGCATAGCAGTGAGGAATGTGGGGTCTAGGAGGAGCAGTTACGCTCATTCACACTGTGAAGCCTGGGATGCACAGCAGACATGGGACCTGGTTAACCCACACAACTCTTGCTTTAGATCAGCACTGGTTTTGCAGGTCAGTGACTTGTGGCTGTAGTGGTAATAATGACTCCATTGCCCACTTGGCAGATGGAATCTCACTGAGTGGTGGGATGGACCTTGGACGAACACACTGTACTGTGATCACTCTGGCCATCTCAGTTAAATGTGAAATTGATCGTGAATCAAAGCCCAGATCCTCCCTTATATGTAGTGTTTATTTCTTGAGTGATTACAACACTCTAAAATTTCTTAAACCAGCTTTTAACATGAAATGCTAGGCAGGGAGCTGAATCCTGTACTTAGGAACAAATTTAATTGGGTGTTGTCTCTCAACAGGATGGTGAAGTGATTGGGATTAACACCTTGAAGGTCACAGCTGGAATTTCTTTTGCCATTCCTTCAGACCGTATCACTCAGTTTCTCACAGAGTCACATGACAAACAAAGTAAAGGTATGGTATGCAGGAGACAGTGACATCTTCCAGTTATCCTGATCCAGGTGAAGTGCCAAAAGACAGGGGTCTGGGATCCTATTACTGAAAGGAGCAGCATCTTTTTCCATTACAGAGCATCATAGACTGTAATGAAATAGAAAACAATCTCAGAGAAGTGGGAGAGACTTTTTATTACTCATACCCCCAAAGAGCAGACAGTATCTGTATAAATATGGGAAATAGGGCCTCTGAGAATAGTGAGGACACAGATGAATCATCACTGTCTCAAGTGATCTTGAGAACAGATGATCACTTGTTTAAAGGAGTTCTATTCCCTTCTTTTCATTTATTGTCCAAGCAAAAAGATTGAGGTATAATGTAGCAATTAAGGTAAAAACGTTTTTAAGCACCTGTCCACAGATGGGGTGTAGTCCATAGAACCTGGCCTATATTTTATCATGGTCATGTATGTCAGTGCTATATCAATCAGATATACTGTGACAGACTGTCAGGCCCTGGTGGAAGAAAGGCTTTTACTAATTCATGAATAAATACATGGAAAGATGGGAAAGAGACAAAAAGAAAGAAAGGCTCTCTGGACCAGAGAGCATATAAATCTAAGTATTTTGGCAATGACAACTGCAGTACTTCAGACTTTTTTTTACATGCCTGCACCATATCTGTCACCCTGTTCTAGATGTCATACTACAGGCTACACAGCCAAAGCTGATCTAGTAATGCTGCATCCAGGCCAAATCTTCCTTACCCTTTCACTTGCCAATTTATCTGTCCACACCCTACTACTCATCTTTTACCATGAGTATTGGCTGCTGCTTCTTCTTCTCATGAATCTTTTTGTTATTAATCTTGTCTTCTGCTGAGTTCATCCAGTTCCTGATGCCAGGGCTGTTTCCCTACACTGTTGTCCTCTCAGATACTGTTATTTCAGAAACTTCCCTTAGTCAGCGGTTTTAAAGGGGTGCATCTGCTTGTATACATGAGAGCATCACAAACCTGATGGGTCCCCTCATCTGTTTTGCTGAGTGCCACAGATTATGTTGTTTTCACAACATTGTTGATTTGGGAGGAGAGGGAGGAGTAGATAAAAAAAAAAAAGTTAATTATATACTGAGAAGTGCATTTTAAAGTAGCTGACATAATTTTGTTTCAGTCAACGTGTCAAAAAAACCTATTTTTTCACCCTGGTTACTAACTTGTTGGTTTCTGAAACAAACAGGTGTCTCATTAGTGATGTTACTCTTTAGAACCAAACTGCTCATCCCAATCCAGGGAGGAGCAATAGCTCAGCCTGCAGGCTTGGCCTAGAGACATGAACTCAAGCCTTGTGCAGAACTCACCATCTCCTGGTAACGGGCTGGAAACTCAGTGAAGCTTAGAGATGGCACCACTGAAATCAGTCACCTTGCTCCTTCAGGCACCTTTATCTCCACAGGATGATGAGCCCAGCTGAGGGCCCAGAGACAGATTTGCCCATGGAAGAGCCCTAAGAAAAAATTATGGAAGATTCAAATTTATACTGTGTTTATAACATACATATTTTTTTTTCTTATCATAATACCCTAATCAAGAGGATTCACACTTTCCTCTTGGTGTCAGTGTGACTGTCACTGCTTCAAATAAATGGGGGCAATTTTATTATTTATTTTATTTTCCAATTTTTTTTTCCTTTTGCTTCTCTGAAGTATGTTTTATAATTTTGCTGTGGCAGAACAGTCAGTTAAAGCCCTTGGTGCATAGAGAAAATTTCTAGGAGATATTTTCACCACATATTTGAGACTCAGTTTGCATTTTTTAGGCCTTTAGTAATTGTTCTCAGGTTTATTGTATAGCTGCTATTTTTTGGCATAGTGAATTTATAAGCAGAATTTTAGAGATGTTTTTATCATGTTTTCTTCCAGTTAAGTTTCAGTAATTTCAATGGGATCCTCCCTTATGGTACAATTAGGTCATAGAAAGAAGTTTATGGGTATTACCATTTTGTTCTTAGTATAATATTGCCTGAATATGATAACATTCCCTTAGGATACCACTCTTTCCAGATTTATTTTGGCATAGAAGATACTCAATTGTTTAATAAACTGGAGCTTAGTCTTTTGAATCTCAGTTGGTCAGATAACTGTTTCGTATAGGAGGCATATTTTTTAAAATCTCATCCATCATATAAAGCTGCAAATACCTGATCTATTACAGAACAGGAGTGGAGAGTGAAGAAAAGGAGAGGATGTCATTTGAATGAAGAATTTGCACTGATTGTTATATATACATTCTGTATTACCTAATGCATTGGTAATATATAATAGCACCTAATATATTTTTGACCAAAGACTTGCCACAGCCTTCATAGAGATGTTGGTCTGTTCAATGGTTTGAAGGCCTTTGCTAATTTTGGGGTTACCAATGATAAGGTTAACATCATTTTATAGTTAGGAAATCTTAAATTGCTGCATTAAGTTAAGTGTCTCCATCTCAGTTTTAACCAGCTGTGGTATTCTATGTTTCTGTCTGGAAATTATCTGCATAATTAAGGATTGATTGATATTATTTTTAAAAAAAATTTTTTTAGGAATTTCTCCATTTTGGGCTTGGCTCTATCTATTCCCAGTTTAGACTTGAGCAGAATAGTAAAACTAGAAAGTCTTTTAGAAATAGATGCTTTAAAGTGGAAATCAGTAAGTCAGCAATTTGAAAAAATATTAAAGAGAAAATCCATCTAAAAGGTCAGCTTGGCATCTAACATACTGTAAGCAGAAAAGTGAATAAACCTTGTTTCAGCTGGGCGTGGGGAAATGGGGGAGTTCTGCATTGGCCACACCCAACAACTCATTTACTTGAATCCCATTTTATATCCCCAGGACCTTGTATTAGTTGCGTTAAAACAATATTCTTACCTTTGTATTTGAATGATTATTACTCATAATAATTACCACAAATCATGAGGGTTGCTTAGGATCCTTGCTGAGTGTAGATTCAGACCTGATTGAATTCAGCTCTGCAGTTTATAAGAAAGGGGCACTGCACAGAGTCCAGCATTATAGGCTTGAGCTGTTTTCATGGTTTCTGTTTGGCAGTAGAATATCTTTCTTAAAAGCTTTCAGGGCTGCTCATGTAATCTTCAAAATGAGCTGGGGGCAAAAGGAATTAGCAGAAAAATAGAAGTCTTGCCTGGCACTTGAATAAGTAGTGCGGGATCCATTTCTTCCTTGGAGATCCTGGCCTCACTGAAATCAACTGCATTGGGTATAATTTTGAGCCAGAGTTACTCAAGCCCATAGGAGTTTGAGTACATGACCCCTTAATTAGGATTTATAAATTCTTTTTGCTACTGTTTTATAAGTCATAAGCATTTCTGCCTTCAATTGGTGTTTATCTGTCTGGTTTGTATCTCTATTATTGCAAACATCAATAAATAAAGTTTAATAGTAAGGCAAGTGCTTTATTTACTGTGGAATAGAAATTTCTGTGACTAGTGAACTGCTTCTAGATACTTGGTGTCAGCTGCTTGTGACTTTTTATTAACACTAAGCAGATTTAAGTTTAAGCTCGTGGTTGAGGCTGGTTTACTTGACTTTGTACCTCTGTACCAGTGTTTAACCTGGCCTGGTGTTTACAAAAATGAGATAAGATTTGAGTCTTTCTCTTCTGTGCTGTGCTCCAGCTTTAGCCACAGTAGTTTCACATTTGCTAAAGCTGATTTTTCTAACATACAAACCTTCTTTTAACTACTTCTGGGACTGCACCCTGGTGATGTGCTCCTTAGATTTATGACATCACTTTACTCCAGGTCTCTGAATTACTTTTTCTTTTGCCTCGTGATTGCACAAATTGCCATAATGACAGGTTTTGAGACTTTCTATTCACAGAGCAGATGTAATATGACAGTGTAGTTCCAGGTGCCACATTCTGTCCTGCCAGTGTGACTCAGCCCCAACATCACCATGCTATGCTTTGGGAGTGTTAAAACACTACTACTGTTTGTCTGTGCCTGTTTAGTCTCTGCTGATACTTCAAAAAAGATGGATGATTATATTCCCACTAATCATTGTTGCTGAAAACTTTGTTTTTTGTTGAAGGTGTCTGACTTGGGTTAATCAGTGGAATGGATTTTTATGAAACTGAAGGACTGAAATTTTTTTACTTGTATTCTGACACACAAAATGTCTGGAGAGGGGAAAGAGAGGAGTGTATACTCTGCTGCTAGAGTAACCTATGGCTCACACTTCTTAGTTTATACAATACCCTGCTACTCTTACAGTAGGAATTGCTATTTGCAGTATGGCAAACTTACTGCAGAGAGAGGGCAGAAGGCCTTTTTGAATTTCAGTGCATCAAGGGAGTGAAATAATACTTAGACCTGCCAAAAGATGAAGGTAGAATTAGAATTTTGGTTGGGAATAAGTCTTTAGTTGCAAGATTTATTTTTTTTTCCCTAAATATTTATGTTTAAATATATCATTAGCCACTGGGGAAGTAATTGCCTTTATCTGATTAGTGTAATTTCTCCTGTGATTTTTCATTCTTACTGTTCTGTTTCTTCCAAGTCAATTTCTCTTTTCTCTTCTTTCATTTTAATTTTTCATCCATACAAATATTCCTAGCTCAGGCTCTGGAGTATCTTTGTGTTTCTACAAATTTCTGTGTCATAGGTGATGAGCAGCATCAAATTGTTTAATGCAAAGAGAAAACTATCACCAGAGATGCTGTCACTGATCTTACAAAGGGAATTTCATTATTTAACTGTCCACCTTACATGGACAAGGGGATTATTTTCAGGTGGGAGAATTATCATGTCTGAATATTTTTAAAAAGTGAAAAATTACATTTCTGCCATGAGGACTGGAGGAGCACCATGAGCTAGTTCTTGGTCATGTCCAAAGCTCTTCACGCTTCAGATTTGAGCAATTGAACATCTTAACACTCTTACTATAGCTGATTTTGATCTTGCTAGTTTTACTTTAAAATAGGGGAGAGCCAAACATTTCAGGGCAAAGTAGGGATGACAGTTATGGATGCAAGATTTTTCAGAGTGTAGTAAATCCAGTGTTTAGTAGTCAACAGTTTGTGACCCCAATCAGAATATTTGGCATGTGTAATATTCAGAGCTAAGTCCTTTACTTGGCAGTATTTTTCTTGGAAAGAATAAGAGCTAGAGAAGACTGTGTACATCTCCTTTTTCCTCATGTGAAAACCTGGAGAAACTCAAAGATCTTGTGAAGTCGTTGTGCTGGAACAAGTAAGGGGAAATATCGTTTCACGCCGGATGTAACTGAGTACTGCAGCGCTCGCTTCAGGAAGTCATCAAACTGCATTTTTTTTTCATAAGACAGCTGTGCAGTATCATGACTTACTAAAAGCCAACTTCAGAAATGTGCTGTTCTTCCTAGAGGAGTGACTTCTCACCATTTAAAATTCCAGAGAGTCCTGGAAAATCGTAGAATTATAGAATAGTTTCTATTGGAAGGGACCTTTTAAAGGCCATCTAGTCTGACCCCTCTGCACTGATCAGAGACACCTTCAGGTTGCTCACAGCCCCATCCAAGCTGACCCTGAGTGTTGACAGCTGGGAGATCTACCATTTCTCAGGGCAGTGCGTTCCAGTGTGTTACCATTCTCATCATAAAAAATTCTTCCTCATCCCTGCTGCCAACCTACCTTCTTTTAGTTTGAAATCATTACCCTTCCTGACTTTGTAAGACCTCTTTAAATACTGAAATACCTTGTTAAGGTGTCCCTGGAGCTTTCTCTAGGCTGAACAAATCCAATTCCCTCAGCCCATCTTCTTAGCAGAGGCACTCCAACCCTCTGGGTATTTTTGTGATCATTTTGGCAAAGGTCTACATGTTTCAGTTTTTTATTTTAAATTGTTTTTTATTCTTTGGGTTAGAAATAACAAGCCATTATAATCAGTGTGAGTCTTCTGATTGCCTTTTCTCTGAAAAGTGGAAATTTAAATTTTTTTAGAGCCCATTTCTACATTTAAATGAGAATATTGTATGATAGTCTTGACCAGTTTCAGATTAAATGGTAGTTGGCTATGAAATTTTCCATTTACTGAATTCATGTGATACTAGATCACAGAAGTTTCCTGAATTTCCTGAAGGAAGAACTCCTATGAGCTTTCTCTCTTACCCTTAGTTGCAGTGAGAGGGATAGTCATTCTGTACACCGAGGGTAATAAAAAACAATAACTTTAGTACAGATGTACGTGATTTTGTTTAGTTTTGTTAAAATATGATACATTCGGTTTTAATTTTCAGGTATTTTGGGTCATCAGAGCAGTTGTTTTTGTCAGGGTTTGCCTAAACTTCTTAAATATCCTCTGTGTTCCTTTCAGATGGGAAGAAACGTTTCATTGGCATCAGAATGCTGACAATAACACCTGCGTAAGTATCTTAGAAAGGAGATTGTGTGTTCATGCACACAAGATGTGGTCAGTAGTGGTTCAGAACTTCATTCATCTTTTGTTACAAATCTCCAGAGATCCAGAAATGGGCATTGGCTTCTAGGAAACATGCAGGCATTTACATCATGCAGGTGAAAACTACATTCTGAGAGCTGGAAATTCTCTAAATACTGATAGTGGTGGATATTCTGCTGATAGCTGAGGGAAAATAGGGAGAGCCTGAACACAGATTTTGGTTCTTGACAAGGATACCTGGAGTTACACCAGGTTTTAGCTGACATTTAAACGAAATGGTTCTTTCAGGTGAGTCTGAGTGCCAAAATCAGCTGATGGAAGGTTTGGTGGTGTTTTCCCAGTGCCAGTGGAGGCCATATGGTGTGAGGTTTGGTGCCTAACCATTAACTAGGAAGAGCTGCTAAAGTGCCAAACTAAAGCTTTGTGTGCCTTCATGTTAGCAAAGCCAGAAATGGACACCTTCCTCTGGCTCTTTAGTGTGTTTTTCCTCTTACATTGCTTTGTCTTGCCATTACCCAGATAAATTATTGGATAATAAATGAGGGCTCTTAAGCTGATGTTCTTTCCCAGCAGTAGGCATGTTTCCAATGTGGCAAAATTAAACAAGACAATTTGCAGCTGGGGTTGTAGTAAAGCCATCTTTTTCCTGAGTTGCACTCCTGCAGTCCTCCCTGAAGGGCCAGATCCTCAGCTGGAATGAATCAGTGTAATGGCATTAACATCACTGGTGGAGAGAAACTCAGAATGCTTCTCCTCATAATTGTGAAAACAATGTGAGATTTTACTGCTTTTGGAATGTCTAAGGAAGACATGCAAGATGTCTGCAGGCCTGTTTCCAGAAAAAGACCACTTCCCTTGTTGTGTTTGCTTTAATTATTCAATTGTTAGCTTCCTCAGTACTAAATCAGATGAAGAGAAGCTGTGTAGCCATTTTGGCTTGTTTTCCTTCTGAGGGACCCCAGTTTTTAATGGCAGACAGCCCAGTAATCTGTCCTTGGTTTAAAATCTTTCAAGAAATGGGTTTTAACCCACACTGTATGCAGACCTGAAATGATGTCATCATCTCTGAAATGAGGGGATGTTTGCAGAGGCTCTGTTTTGCAGTGGGTTCCTGTCTTCTTTCTATAGAAAGTAATGTGCAAAAAATTGTTGATGACAACTTGAGGAAACTGAAGTTTCCAGCTCTGATCTGTCTTCTCTCTGGAGTTATCAAAAACTCTATTGTTCTAGATCAAGACAAATTAGGAATGACTTGCAAAATAAAAGAGACCAAAAAGTTAGCAAATTTTTGCCTTGTCATTCATTACCCAGCATTAATTCTTTGAGCAGAAAGACCTTTTGTCCCTGAGAGTGCTCCTGTTGTGCTCTTGAACAAGGCCCTCTGTGCTACTGCCACAAAGAGCCAAAGTCAAATTCTTGCTGATGTACAACACCATTAAGTTTAGCATGCTTTGCACAGGTAAGGATCTTAAATCTTAAAATTTATGTAATGTTTTTTAATCCAAGTTTAAATCCCCATATTTTCATCAGAGAACCGGCAAATGATTATTTGTTAAGTCTTTTTGTTCCAAAAAGTTTAAATAAATAAGAATATTTATATGCTTTTGTAGTGCAATAAATTCTGTATAACTTTGTTCTTCTTTTAGCTTGGTGGAGGAGCTGAAGCACAGTAATGCTGATTTTCCTGATGTCAGAAGTGGAATTTATGTACACGAAGTTGTTCCAAACTCACCTTCTCATAGGTAGGTAGATCATGTTATTTTCTTCACCACAAATAAACCTCCAAAGAGATACTGGAAGGTAATATTTATTTTATTATCAAGTATTTTCTCATACCAGGCTTGATCTGTATTTAAACAATAAAAATCATGCCTTTAGGTTTAAAATATCTTGCTAAGATTCTGCTCACCTCTACAATAATTAAGCATTTCAGAACTATTTAAATCATGGAATCATTTAGGTTGGAAATTACTAAGTCATCAAGTCCAACCACGAACTCAGAACCAAGACCACCAGTAAACCCTGTCCCTAAGTGCCACTTCTACCCATTTTTTAAATACCTCCAGGGATGGTGAGACCACCACTTTGCTGGGCAACCTCTTTCAGTGTTTGAAAACCCTTTCTGTAAAGGAACTTTTCATATTATCCCATGTGAATTTCCCCTTGGACAACTTAAGGCCATTTCTTCTTGTCCTGTCACTTACTACTTGGTAAAAGAGACTGCCACCCACCTCACTACAACCTCTAATGACATTGTGAAACACTAAGAGTGTACAAATAAAAAGAGCACCCCATATACAATGACCAAATTTGAGGAGTTTTGTGAAGGATGTTGAATATTAAAAAAGCAGGTAAGGTTAAGCAGGAAACAGAATAACATTCACATAAGGCACTGTCAGAGCTGTTATCTGAGACAGTACTGAATCTTAAAGGAAGAGGCTGTTCTTTGGAACAGTTGCAAAATAAAATATTTCTAAAAATGATTTTAGGAAAATCAAAAGCAAAAGTAATAGAAGTAGCTATTCAGGATTACATTTGAACAGCAAGAGAGAAATAATTTCCCAATACTTTAGCTGGTACACTTTACTTGCCTTGAAATTTTGAGGTTTTAATTTTCAGTTCTTGAACTACATATTGGTGGAATAAAAGCATGGTCTTGCAAAAGGACTGAGTAAAGTGAATTAATAATAAACAAAAGCCTTTTCTGTTTCTGACTTGCTATAGTTTTGTAGAAATCATGAAAAAATTGTTTTTCTTGTTTGGGAAGAAAATCCTCAATGAAATAACCCGAGCCTTATTTTGCATTTAGCAAGTCTGACCTGTTATTATTTCACAGTCAGAAGGCTGGAATTTCCCTTCAGTGGAGACTAAGACAAATGAAAATTCGTTATATTTGCAAAAGAAGTGGTGAATAGCCTTTGTACTTTACCTCTGCATAGAATGAATCCTTAGTGCCATTTTCTTGTCTTTGCAGAGGAGGGATCCAAGATGGAGATATTATTGTGAAAGTCAATGGGCGTCCTTTGATGACTTCCAGTGACCTGCAAGAGGCTGTGATGAATGAATCACCTCTACTACTTGAAGTTCGAAGAGGAAATGATGATTTGCTATTTAACATTGAGCCTGAAGTTGTCATGTAAATAGAGTTGAGGAAGCTCTCACCATAATTAAACTCACTTATTCTGGAACACTAGATACCTCCTTTACAGCTACAGTAATTATACTTCCTGTTGACTAATGACAAGGTGGACTAACTTAATTGCCTGAGCCATTTCTGTACATAGTAGCTAGAATGACTTCAAAGATGCCATTTGTAGAAGATTTAAATTTCAAAGGAATTTAAGAACTGTGTTCTGGGTAGGAGGAGACAAATTTTGGGTGGCTGGTAGAAATGGGTCCCACTTCCTGTACCTGCAGATGCAGAGCAGATTCAATTCTACACATTGAAAGATCCAAATACTATTTTAAGTAAGGAAGAATATAAAAGGGGGAATTATTCTTAAACTACAGTCATGGCTGCAGCAGACCCAAGCTATTGCAATGCAAAATTGACCTTTTTTTTTCTTTTCCTTTTTATGTAACTTTTTCAATGTGAACCTATTATTGGCAAAGCTTGTATTTGTTCTTAGTGCTTCTGTGCTCCATGTTGATGCAGGTAGATGAAGTCTGTAAATATTGAAAGGAGCAAAAATGGTATCAGGCTATAGAGTGTTACACCTAGGTCATGCGATTTTTGGAATATAGTAAATGATTCTTATAGAATTAATGCCTTTATATATAAATCAAAACGATGTGCTGAACAAAGTTAAGTTTGATAAAGTGCACAGTTTTTAAAGAATTTGATACAAACTTGTTAGCATTTTTACTGGTAAGCTTTGCTGTAAAATTGTTACACTACTTTTGGCTTTGACTGTATGTTTCTACTGTAAGGAGATTAAAGTTTACACAAATAATCTGTTGATGCAAACCTCTTTTTAAACAAGTATGTCTTTCCTGCTTCTTCTGTCTGACTGGACTAGGCTTTCCCAAGAGAAAATTTTCTTACAGAAAATTGGGCCCTTATTTAGACTATGTTTAGAAATGCTTTGCACACAAGTAATTTATTTACACTGTGTTTTTCCATATTTATGAATTGTGCTTTGATGTCACTTAGAGAGTATCAAGTTGGGATCCTGTTGTCCTCAGCTTTCCCTGTATGTGATGAGAAGTAGAAAGAAAGCACCATTAACTCTGTTTTATAATTAGAGTGTGTGGGACTCCTGTGTAATAAACCCAGGGGTGAAATTGCTAAGACCTAAATCCAGATCTCTTAGGTACCCCAAACCAAACAGGTATCTTCTCCCTTAGTGAATATTGCTTCATTTCTGAGTCAGAGGAACGTTTCTATCTGGAGCATTTTCCACATCAAGCTGTGCTTTCTAGACCTGTTTCTTGTGTCTTTGTTACACTGGTGCAAAAAGGAATTTATCTTTGGAGCTGTTCCCTTGAGGTTGCCATCATGCCTAGACTTTCTGGTTATAGCAACTCACTTATGTGTGACAAGCCTTGCATCTTCATGTTTGTACAGTGCCAGACATGTGGAAAAGCACAGTCTGTTCCCTCCTTGATGGCTGACTGGGACTACAACTATGAAGTTCAGAGGTAGATGGGGTACCTTCCTCTTAAAAATGAACAGTGTTACTTTCCATCACAGAAACGTGATGTGCCTGTAATGATGAATTCACCCCCTGCTGCTGTCACTAAAAAAAGAGCTGTATTCATGTGAGGGACAAAAGATGCTTAGTGGTACCTGTTGAATATTCCAGTTCCTTTGTGTTAAAAAGCAGCCTTAGCATCCAGACTTGCAGAAAGCCTATTTGTGTCCTGAACTGAGGGTCGCTGTGGCATGCAGAAGGATGATCTCATGGCATAAGTTAAGCCTATTTGTCCATGTGTACCATGTAAAGTACCAACATTTTACAGTTTGTGAGGGGTATCTGTTTGTTACCATTGATTAATACGAAAGAAATTAAAGTATTTCTGAGTTTGTTGTTAATTTTTCAGGTATAGGGCAAGAAATTGTTTGCTAAGAAGACCTAGGGAGTGATTAGCTTCTTTTACTGTAAAGGAAGCTTTTTGTCTTCCAGTTGAAAAAAATCTGATTTTGAAATAAACTGCATAAAAACTCCTAGTACAGCAATATTTGATAGAGACTGGAAGTGACAGCAGTATTAAAAATTGAAAACACTCTTCTTGGTGCTTGCCAAATGCATTGGCCTTTTAATCAAGTCACTGTGTGAGGAGAGGAAGGCTATTTTCCTTATTCATCAAAAAATGTTGCATTCTACCAGCAGTTCCTAGGTTTTGTAAACTGTCTCTGGAAGCCTCGATGAACTCGCACATCACATTCAATGGTCTGTGAGTGCTGCTGCACTGTAGCAGATCTCCCCTGAGCTAACAAAGGTCAGCTGTGGTGCTTTAGGAAGAAAGCATTGTCATTCCCTTTGGCTGAAGGAGCTTCTGTGTCATTTCAGCTGTGGTGTAACCCTTGTCTGCTGAGTTATGAGTAGACTTTATTAATTTCCACTTGTCTCCCTGACATCGGCCAGAACTGCAAAGGGTAATTACTCAAAGATAGGGTCAGCATCTTCTGATGCCAGCAGTTAGCATTAAGTTTATGACCCAAACTTGATATCTCTGTTCCTTTGATAAAAGGAAGTAAAATGGCAGGTGGTGTCTCTTTAAAACAAAATATTCTGGCAGTCTTTCTGTTGTAAGCAGTTACTGGCTGTGTTTCTCTTAGGGGAAAAGAAAAAATAAATAAAAAAAAAATCTTGATTTCTCAAAAGAGCTGGCAGCTACAGCTTTTTCAAGTCAGAGTGGTCATTGACCTCATTATTTCTGCAAAGCCTAATCAGCAAAACAAGAGCAGAGAGATATCACCAGTTACTATAAGAAAGACATGAGTATTTCAGGCCACTTCACTTGCTGCAGCCCAGCACGATCATCTGTGGTTGCTGCTCAGCCCTACCCAAGCTGAGCCCTGGGGGGAGATCACTCCACCTGTCCTGCTCGCGTGTGCCCGCTGTGAAGATGAGCAAGGCAATGACAGTGTTCAGGCTCAGTGTTTGGTACAGAACAGGAATGAGAGCACGCCATGCACAATGAAATACCATCCATGGATAGAGATTGTGGCTGTTAGGAAGACAAGGTATGAGCAGAGCAGGAAACAAGAAAACAACACACAACAGAAAGAAAATAACCACATCCTGAGAAAAAAAAAAGGAAAAGAAGGTGTCTGTTTCTTTTATATAACTAGATGGGCATAACACTGGGCCAGACTGCTTTACAGCTGCCAAGTACTTGAAGGCTTCTTTCTGCTGGGATGGCACCTTATGACTCTACCCTTAGAGCAGTATAGGATGGGTAACATCCCAGAACATCAGTGAGTCTCCCCAGGAGGAGCCAGGAATGGAGAGAGAACCTTCAGGCTGTAGTTAGTGTGCCACACACTTTGTCATCTTCCCTGAGCCCCAGAGAGCTGCTCGGATGGCTGATTATTTGTAGCTCTCTGCTCCCTCACTATATGAGTGCTCCAACACATTTGTACCTCTGATATCAGCTAAAAAACATCCCTGGGAGGAGAGAGAGAGAGGCACTTTGTGTTTGTAAACAAGGGAAAACAAGGGAATCCAGCAGCTGTCAAGGAACTGTGCAGGACTCAAGGTGTGCTTGAGCCTCGGGGTTTGCCCAGCTTTTACACTTGCTAATGTGTAACAGCAAGCTCCGGATTTGTAGCCTGTGGCTGCTGTGTTGTCCAGAGCTTTCATGGTCCAGCAGTTGTATCTGCTGCAACTCCAGGAATTTTGGTCTGTGGAGATCTGAAAAGGCAGCAGAAGTATGAATTGCTGGGGAACCCCAGTGTTCACACAGAAAATCAGTGCAAGGCAGCTCTTCTGCACAACCTGCTCTCTGTGTGCTGTTGTGTACATTCTGCACAACCACACACCAGCCAACAGTGTCTCCTTTCTGTCCATGTCCTGGGTCTGCCTCTGCATCGTTACTCTGTGCAAAGCTCTTCCCCACAGCCTCTGCCACAGGGGTTTCACACCTCTGCATTTTGCCCTTCTCCGATGGCTTTGCACCAGCTATCCTGTACCTCCATATATCCCAGACAGCAGCTTCACACTCTTTAAAGTTTGTTTTGACTGCTTGTTTCTTGCTTGAGGCTTTGTTGTTTTAGCAGAAATAAGGAAGAAGGAGGAATTTTAATTTCTTTCTTCCCAAACTCTGGAGTCTGGGGTGCCCACATACAGGACTAAAGTCTGAGGATTGCTTTGAAGTAGGAAGAAAACTTAAAAAGGGAAGGAATAGGGTGTCTAGCATATTTTTAAAAATTTTATTCCCTTTATTTACTTGGCTATCTCTAATCTTCATTTAATTGGGTATGCCCAGGGAAAGCCTCCAGGTCTGTGTTTATTCTGATTCTTATTTCAACAGTAGCAGATTATTTTTGTAACTTTGCTGTTTTGTAAACAGTAGATTTGGTCTTTTATCCAGGCTTTCCCACTGCTAGTGTCAGCAGAACAGTTTGCTGGACCTTTGCTGTAGAAGAACTTTGCAGGTGATGCCATGGGCTGTAAAACAAGGCAGAAAGAAGAACCTACTGTCACTTAAGGCAGAGTTGCTTAGGAGACTTTGTTAGTTGGTTGAGTTCTCTATCTTCTGTCAAACATTAGAGAAAATGTTATATTGAATTTTTATACTCAAAAATGCAGATTATATTTACTAGCATTGAACTCATGCTCAGGGAGAACATAACACAGAGGAGAGAAACTTCAGCCTGCAACAGTCACAAAAAAAAAAAAATGGTTTTTTTCTGCTTTTCATTTTTATCCTCTGGGGAGAAAGGTCAGACAGTGCTCCCCCCATCCCTGCTTCCTTTCCCCCTCCCTCTCCCCCAGAGACTGTAAGAATTGTTAATATTAAAGAGCATTTTCCCCATAAAGATCTCTGGAGGATAACAGAAGCAACTTCTTGCTCTTTCTTTCTTCAACAAACACCAGCCAGGCCTTCACAAACAGCCAACCGAAGCAGAGTCAGGAAAAAACAAGTTCTTGAAGGCAGCAGTCGCCAAGGAAAATAATTGGGCAGCATGAAGGTTTTGGTGACGCAGCTGCACAGCTGCTGAGTTCAATGACTCTCAATTGCCTCCATCTGAAGTTGTGCTCCACTCTTAAAATGATTTTTACCTCCATTACTATAAATAGCAGGGCAGGATGATTTCCTGCTTGCAGCCCCAGAAGCAGCTCGGGAAAAAACAAAACACAACCAAATCCTAACAACTGAACCAATGCACAACAACAAAACAAAAAGCTTTCAAGTGTCTTCTAAGTAAGATCCTAAATGTCAAAGGGAGATCACAAAGTTAGAGAGTGTAGTGCTATTGCTTTTGATGACGATTTTCTGACATTTGATTTTGTTGGTCGAGATGATGTGCAGCACTGCAAGAGCGTGGCCAGCTGCTCTGTTCTCCGTCTGTAGGAAGAAGTTCCTCTCAGGGCTGGTGTCATGCAGACTGCTGGTCATTTCATCTGAGCTACCTTAGCATCAAGGGAAAGAAACAGTAGCTTTCCTCTTCTCAGAAAGCAGAAGTTCAAAACAAATCCAAAAGGTTGTATCCTAAAAATACTTACTGTAAAACCTCCTTCCTCTGAAGAATAAGCTTCCTCCTTCCTCCTCAGATAACCCAGACTGACATACATGACTGCACTGTACAAATCCCAAGTTAGATGAGATGACTTTCAATGGATATAAATAACCTTATAATTGTAAAACAGATTCAGAATAATGAAGGTTTCACCTTTGATTACTAGCTTAAATTCAATCCTAATTGTGAGAGAAAAAAAAAAATCTCAATTCTTTCCTTGTCCAGCAGAAGTAAGCCATAAAGTTCTGTGACAAAGGGAGAAATGTACTTTCTGAGTGTAGAAATATGTGATAGTTCATTGTATTATGTAGGTTTATCTACAAGAGCAATGGAGTGGGCTTTTCTACTGAAGGTAGAAAATGCTGGTTCCTGACCTGCTTGGATGTTGTTCACTGCCTCATGACATGCCCACACAGCCACCTACCTAAAGTTACCTGACCAGTGTTTGAAATGCATTAACCACACTTGCCTTTCTAGTTGTTTTACCACCAAAGCTCTTTCTTTCCTGTCCATAAATCCAGATGAAAGGAACATAGGAAAATACACCTCAACCAGCAGAAATACTCCAAAAACCCTTTTCTATGTACATGAAAATGATCTTGGAGGTCTGTCATGTTGGTAGTCCTTGTGTTTGGACACCAGTGCCCTGTTTGCCTCTGCACGCCACCCGCTGCCAGGTGTGTGTCCCTCTGGAAAACGAGCTAATGCTCACCTTCAGGGCATAAAGCTGCCAGTGGTGCCTCTGCAGAAAGACTTCAGCATCTGAAACATGTTATTCCTCTGGGGTTGAATATTCTGACCCATAAATCTGACAGTGAAATTCCCCTTTTAGGGAAAAGCAGAGAAATTTTTGCAGCAGGTTAAGGGATTTCTGATGTTTTGAAAAGCTCTGCAGTTTCTCAGTGGTTTGGGATGTCAGATGTTATATCAAGAGGAAAATGAGTGGGCAAAATCTGAGAAAGTGATGAGAGGTGCAATGATGAATTTATACCATTGTTTTGCATGTTTTTCCCACAAAATGTCTGTACACATGATCTCTGTTTTTGTTTGGTTTATTTTTGAAGTAAATTTTCTGAATGTTCCTGAGTTTTTTAAAAGAAAATATGAGCTCTTGCTGATCAATGTCTTTAGTCTTATCATTATTATAATGATAATGATATCATATATGATATAATGATTATAATGATAAATATAAACCTTATTATTATAAGGTTAAGCAACCAAAACCAAAGGCTGAATATGGTATGAAGGAACTACAATATTTTTTGGGGGGTTCAGTTGTTTTGTTTTGGGGGGTTTTTTTGTGTGTGCTCTGTTTGTTTGTTTT